GTCCTTTTTGTAAATTTCGTTAAGTTTTTAACGGAGCAGTTGTCAGGGTTGACTGAAGTTAGTTACGTGGCTTTGTGTGGGTAATACGTGGCAGTGAGAGGGTGATACGTGGCTGTGAGAGGGTAAATCAGAAATTAGGGTTTGAGTTGCAGAGAAATTGGGATTTATTGTCGTGTTTCTTCTGAAGGATGTTCATCATATTCTTCAGGTAAGAGCACTGAATTATAATATATAATATAGAATCACAAATTACAATATATAGACAGGAACTTTGTTCTGATCCAAGATATGGTTGCAGAAACCCACCCATCATCCTTCCTTGTTGTTTTTCCCAGTCCATCTTTCACTGCAACTTTTGGAGTTTCTTCCACACTTTGGCTAGATCTTGTATTCAACAAGCTCTCAAACCTTCTATGCCTTAAAAGGACACCACCTTCAGTATTCACCATGACAGAATCTGTGAGCACTACACGCTAATAGAGGCCACCTGAAAAAACCAAAACCAAAAGCAGAATAATTCGTATGTTATCACTTAAATGTGCATTGAGGAATCCCATGAACAAAAACCAATACTAATATCTTGCATAGAACATTACCAAATACCTTTCTCCCAGTTCAATTGAAGGATCAATCACAAGGGTCGGTGGTCAATTAAAAAGAGAGTGGAATTTTTCAAGAACAAAATACACCAGCAACTGATAAAATTCAGTTTTTTTTTTCAAGAAAACTGAATGGATAAAACCCAGAACTCCCATTTTCCGCCAGTTAACGAAAATGGTGAAAAGTTTCAAACTTTAAAATGAACACTGAAGATGGTGGGGTTTTCTTCTACTATATTTCGAAGGAATTTTATACTATTTTATACCATTAGTCTTTTTATTTATCAGTCTGACAGCAATTACTTGAAGAAGACCGAGCAAAGAAGCACCTGTGAGTTGTAAACATGGAATTGACTTTAGCTCCTGAGAAAGCTGAAATGAAGGAAAATGGAAGAAGTCAAATTCCACTGGTGCCGCCGCTGATGACTCTAGCAAACTGGGTAAGAAATGTAAACACTGAGAAGATCCTTTACCCCAACTTTTCAAACACGACGAACACCCTTCAGAAGAAACACGACAATAAATCCCAATTTCTCTGCAACTCAAACCCTAATTTCTGATTTACCCTCTCACAGCCACGTATCACCCTCTCACTGCCACGTATTACCCACACAAAGCCACGTAACTAACTTCAGTCCACCTTGTGAGCTGCTCCGTTAAAAACTTAACGCCGTTTCCAAAAAGGACTTGATTGCACACTTTTTACAAAAGATGGGATCACATTGAACTTCTAAAAACAGGTGGGACCACATTGAACATTGGCCCCCTTTCTAGGGACCAAAAGAGGTATTAAACCAATTTTAAATTATAGGCATTTTGGGATGACTGTAACCTTAAGACTTTATCTACAAGTCTTTTGTAACTATTCTATTATATTAAGTTGTGGACTACTATATTATATAATTTTATATAATCTGGGATTTACAAAATTATTATTATTATTTTAATAAATATTTATATTTTATTCAAACATTTTCTTTAATCATTAATTGGTATATTATTTTTGTTATTATTATTTGATTGAATAAATATATTTTATTTTAAATTATTCGTTTAATCATTACTTAACAAATATTTATTGGAAATGGGTAAGATTTATTACATTTTATTACTTTTCTATACAAGGCTAGTTTCAATACTAATTTAATTTTATAATTACGATGCAGACAAATTATTTTAATACTAACGGTTATATTTTACTTTGAACATAAAGTTCAAGAGTCCATTCGCATTCTCTTCCTTAATTATTGACATAACTAACATACAAATTATTGTTATTATAATTTTATTCAATGATTATATTTTATTTTAACATTTTTCTTCAATTATTAATGTTAGTTTTACTATTAGTATTGTTATTGTAATTATAATCAATCGTTATAATTTATTTTAATTTCTTTATTTATTTATTAATTTATTAATGCTACTATTAGTATTATAATAATGATAATTATTATTTAATCACCAATTATATTTTTTAACTTATTTTTTAATTTATAATTTTAATTTTAATATTATTTTTATTACTGTTATTTTAATAAAAATATTTATATTGTATTCAAGCATTTTCTGTAAATATTAATGGATAATACTATTATAATTAATATTGTTATGTTATTATAATTTGAATAAATAAATTCGTTTAATTATTAGTCAACGAATTTTGAATTTGTATTTATTGGAAATTGTAAACATTTATTACGCTTAATTATTTACATTTTTTTTTATTTAGATACCAACTAATGTCATTTTGCTAATATTTCAAAGTCTTTGATTGGATACACATTTTAAATTATTTTAATTGGTTCTAATTGATACTACGAAATTAAATTCATGCTTAAGTGAGAATATTATAAATTATAAATATCAAAACAATTTCACAAAGTATGAATAACCCAATTAAGTATAATTAATTTTTTTTTCTATTAAGAAAAAGTTAGAAATATAACAATTAAAGTCATTTAATTATTACAATTATAAAACAATTTTAATTCAGTATTACATATATTTTAAATTTGTAAAACTTATTTATTTTTATGTACTGAATTAAAATGTTTAATAATATGTAAAATTATTAACGGTTAATTTATTTAAATTTAAATATATTTTTTGGATGGACTCCATTATCAAATATTATATAAAATATTTATATAATAAAAGATCTTTTATTAAACAGTGGTGTATAGATAAAAAAGGATTAGTATTTAGTTAAAAATTGAATGTATCTAACCAATATTTTATCTTCTAACTAGTTTATGAGCTAGCTATATGGAGGTAGATGTTCTTCCACATGCAAATTTTGACTTTGTAAGTCAGAAATAAGTGGTACCCATTGGTGGTTTCGCATGGGACGGAGTACCCTAATAGTTTTTCTTACATGTGTTGTATGGTCATATTTGCATAGAAAAAACAAAGGGATGTAACTTAAAACTTCACATGCCTAAAACAACATAACGTATTTCTGTGCTTCTAACTTTCTGCTTGTAGCTCATACTATTCCTTTCTTCTTCTCTTTTCATTTAATCCTTTTTCTTATTTTCATTTTATTTAAAGCAGTCCTTTTTATCTTTTGTTAAAATAAATCGAACCCAAATCTTTTAATTTGATTGTTTCAAGATCATTTTTTAAGATTGTTATAATAGAGAAATAAAAGTTTTAAAACACCATTTCATTCATCTCTTGCTAGTGTGCATCCTGTGTTGTTGCATTGACCTTATAGCTTCATTTTCAACAGTCTTTCAAAAGCAAAAGATCCTATTAAGGTTGGACAAAATAAAAACTTTGTTAAGGATGCCTATATTAACAAATCTATTTTGTGTGTGTGTGTGTTTTTTTTTTAAACTATTACTTTTGGAAAATTCACATGAAGATCTTTATTGAATGAACTGATAATATATATATATATATATATATATATAAAAGCGGGAAAAAAATTGTTCAAGACACTATTCCACACTATGCTAGACAATCTTTCACTTTTACATTGTGCATTTACAGTTTTCTTAGATAGTGGTTCTCTCTCTTGAATTCTTTATGTCCTAGATTACAATGTAAGCATTTGGTTTGTGTTCTTTTAATCCGTTTCTTATTTCAATTCGATGTTATTCAACTGTTGAATTCTTTTTCTCTTCTTCTCACATGTTTCTTCAAATTAACCAAAAGTTAAACTCAAATTGAAGGATTAATTCTTGTTCTTGCATCAACATTGATTTCTTTAGTGGATTCACTCTAGAAATTAAAAAATGCAATGTCATCAACCTAGAATTAAGTGACTGCAATGTCAGCCTTGATTCAAAAGACAAGAATTAAGCTTTTCTATTTGAATTTCAGTTTTTAAGTTAATTTGTGTGTTGTGTTCATACATGTTTTGTAATTTCATTTAAATGGATTCGGATCAATTTGTCAGCATAATACACCACAACGTTAAAATTAATTTCTTAATTATAATATTCAATGCTCCCTATTTTTGGAATTTTTCTATGAATGGATTAGCTGGACTGATTTGACCCATTGCTTCCAATAATTAATCTTCTTTTAAATAATTATATTTTACACAATCACTTTTATTATCCTTAATTATTATCGTATTGCTCAACTGAGATATCCTCATTTTCATATAACAGGAATATGTTGGTCTAGCGAATATAGTAGCACTCTATTTTCGAGTTACATGTGAGAGCCTTTTTCTTTTCCTTTTTCTTTTTCTTTGGAATACTTTTGTTTTCAAAGAAGCTCGTATTAGAAATAAATTTCTCATGATTTTTACTCTTTTAAATACGAAATTTATTTATAAGTTTATCTTTAAATATCAAGTACGGTGTGTAGTTTAAAGAAATAAATTTAATGTATTTTAAAAATCTTATTCTGGAAAAGAATAGTAATTAAAAGTGTATGACAATGTGCACTAAATATCAAATTAGGATGTGTTTCAAATTTCTATCTTTTTGTGTGTTAGTGATGATATATACAAATATTTTGTAAGGAAATATATAAAAGTATTATATACATATATTAAAATATTATATATAACGGGTATAAGATATTATTTTATTAGATGTGATAAAATGTTGGAGAATAAAAGACGTAATAAAATTGATAAAGAAATTGACAATAAATATATAAATGAGATAGTAAAAACTAACTCTAGGGAAACATCTCAATCCAACGTCATGAGAAGAGTTTTAAAAAGGTGTAGACGTTGATGACAGTCTAAACGGGATCTTGTATAAACTGTAAACAAATAAAAATACATTTTCGATATAAATATATATGCTTTAAGAAATATTAATATTAAAATAATATCTAATTGTAAAAATCAAATTAATTTTTAAAATATAAATAAAGAATTATAAAAATGTGTGCCGAGAGTGTCTTACCTGATCACATGCTCTCACATTATTTAACTTTTAAGTATCATGATGAAATATTCCAAACCTTGAAAAGCTTATCACTCGGACAGTGGAGCCACTCATCAATATCTGGATATGGAGCTCTTTTCCTTCCTTTTCATTGCCCTTCTCTTCACTTTCTATCTCTATTTTGTTACAGGAAAACCCCGCAAAACTAACCACAAAGGCTTCAAACACTACCCTCTTATTGGAACCTTACCGGAATTCCTCAAAAACCGCCATCGCTTCCTCGAATGGAGCACCCAAGTCCTCCGCGACTGCCCCACCAACACCGCCGTCTTCTCCCGCCCCTACAGTTACCACGGCGTCATAACGGCCAACCCCGACAACGTGGAACACATGCTCAAAACCCGATTCCAGAACTACCCGAAGGGCGAACGCTTCATCCACCATCTACAAGACTTCCTCGGCAACGGAATCTTCAACTCCGACAGCGAACTCTGGAAGGTGCAGAGAAAAATCGCCAGCCACGAGTTTAGCACCAAATCACTCCGTAACTTCATTGTCAACTCCGTCACCACCGAACTCCAAACCAGGCTTCTTCCAATTCTCTCCCTAGCCTCCCAGACAAACAGGGTCCTCGATTTGCAGGACCTCTTCGAGCGCTTCGCTTTCGACAACGTCTGCAAGCTAGCTTTCAACGTCGACCCCGCCTGTCTCGGCGGCGACGGTACCGCCGGTGCCGAGTTCATGAGCGCGTTCGAGGCCGCCGCAGGGCTGAGTTCAGGGAGATTCATGAGCGCGTTACCCTTCATGTGGAAAATAAAAAAGCTGTTGAACATCGGAACAGAAAGGAGACTGAGAGAATCAATCACCACCGTCCACGTGTTTGCTGACTCCATCATACGGTCCCGATTGGAGTCCAGGGATCCCGCCGGCGACGACGAAGATTTGCTTTCGCGTTTCATCAGAACAAAGGAGAGCTCGCCAGAGTTTCTACGCGACGTTGTGATAAGTTTCATTCTCGCAGGGCGTGACACGACATCGTCCGCGCTCACCTGGTTCTTCTGGATTCTTTCTTCCAGACCTGACGTGCGGAGAAAAATTCGCGACGAAATCGCAAGGGTTCGGTCCGCCACATGTGGCGTTGGCGCGTTTGGGTACGAGGAGCTGAGAGAGATGCATTACCTGCATGCGGCGCTTACGGAGGCGATGAGGCTGTACCCGCCGGTGCCTGTTGACTCGAAGAAGTGTCTGGACGACGACGTTTTACCGGATGGAACTCGGATAGGGAAGGGTTGGTTCATATCGTATCACACGTACGCCATGGGGAGGATGGAGAGCGTGTGGGGAAAAGACTGTACCCTATACAATCCTGATAGGTGGTTGGAGAATGGCGTGTACCGAACAGAGAGTCCGTTTCGTTTTCCAGTGTTTCACGCAGGTCCACGAATGTGTCTCGGGAAAGAAATGGCTTATATTCAGATGAAGTCCATTGCAGCTTCCCTCATAAAGAACTTTGAGATTGAGGCAGTGGATAAAGACACGTGTCCAGAGCATGTCCTTTCTTTGACGTTGAGGATGAAAGGAGGCTTGACCGTGAGGGTAAGGACAAGGGATACACAAAGCCAGTCTCCACAGTAACACTGGTTTCTAGACCACAGCTTGCAATCTCTCCTATTTCATAATTAACAAAAATTGCAATACATAAAAAATTGCAATACATTGTGTCTATTTTCAGTGAAGTTTCTAAGGTGATGGAATATATAAATATAAGGATAAAAGTATTTTAACAATATTTTTTGAAAATATTTTAATACTATTTGTGATTCTGTGATTGGTTTATTTTGATGTTTATAATTATTATTATTATTAATTGTGGAGTAATTTTGGATCAATCACATAATGACACGTAGATGATGTTAAAATATTGTAAAAAGATATTGTCAAAATATCATTATCTTAAATATAATATATATAGTTTGGTGCTTTATTTTTCTCTGTATACCTATGACAGAGATAAATATAAACTTGTTACAAAACTATTTTCAGCAAATATTATGTTCCTTGTTTAATTTTGTACATGTGTTAGACAAAGAGCATCGTCAACGAAGAAGAAGACGATCATAGAAAAACAAATAGCAAACATAAAATAAAATGAACAGTAACCGACAATGAGAGGGCCAAGTGAGAAGAGAAAAGTAGTTGAAGAGAGGAGGTAGACGAAAAATGTTATTTAAGTAAAATTACTTTGAAGACAAAACAAAAACAGGTACTATATCCAATATTATACTCACTTTTTCTTTTGTATTTTTCCATAATAGTCCTATATTTAATACGTATTAGGTAAGTTTTTAAATTCCTATTTATAAAACGTTTTTAAAAGTATTTTGTCACTCTAAGATCTCTCCTACTCTTCTAAATGTCTTTCGTGTTAGAACAGGTTCAGTCTGTTTTATTTTTTCTGCACTATTTTGATATTAAAGGGACCGATTCAGGTTTAGTTTGGCCTTTTTTATATAGATTGTTGATCCACCTTTATCAATCCTACAAGGTTACACAGATCAACCAATGTGAGAAACTGAGTTTTTATATGTTTATAGGCAACTTTAAAATAAAATTACTAGGCAAAATCTTTTGTAGTTTCGAATTTAAGTAAGTAATGAGAGATTTACACGACTTCAAATGAAGAAGTTGTATCTTCTTACACGATTTCATCCTGACATAGTGGTCAAAAATAAAGTCGTGTATCTAAAAACGATTTTAGGATATGATAATCGATTATCCCACCTTGTAATCGATTATCATTTCTTTTTTTTTATTAAAAAATAATACAAATATCAAAGTTATAGGAGTTAACAACTTCTCTTATTGAAGTTGTACACTCCACATACTTTTACTTTTTTATTTTTAATTTTTTTATTAATTAAAATTATTTATAATTTGTAAATAATGATTCTAAATAAATTTTATAATTTTAATTATTTTTTTTTATAAAATAATTTCAATTAAATAATTTATAATTATAATTATTGTAATTGTGTAATTAAAAATTAAAAAAAATTATATTTCATTATAATTTATTTTTTTGAATTTTTATTATTATATTATAAATTTTTATAAATTATAATTATTTAACAACAATTTTTTTAATTACAAACTATTTAAAATAATAAAAATATTAAATATAAACTATTTAAATTAATAAAAATATTAAATAATTAAAATTGTAGAGGTTGACGACCTTGAAGTCGTGCACCCCACACTTTCATTTTTTTGAATTTTTTATTATTTAAAATGATTTATAATTTTTAAATAATTATTTAAATATATATATATATATATATATATATATATATATATATATATAATATTTTAAATTATATATAATTAATAATTAATAATTAAAGTTTTTTAATATTATTAAATAAATAAATTCATGGTTTTAATTATTTATGAAATTAAATTAATTTTTTTATGAAATGATTTTAATTAAATAATTTCTAACTAAAATTATTGTAATTACATAAATAAAAATGCATACATATATTTTATTTCATTATAATAAATTAATTATAATAAATTTTTTATAATAAATATTTGTTTAAGTAAATTTATTATATTAAACAAAATTAAATTTATAATGAAATATATATATTTTTTAATTTTTAGTTACATAATTACAATAATTATAGTTATAAATGATTTAATTAAAATCATTTTATAAAAAGTTTAATTTAATTATTAAAATAATTAAAACCATGAATTTTATTTATTTAATAATATTAAAAAAATTTAATTATTAATTATATATAATTTAAAATACTTTATATACATTTAAATACATTATTTAAAAATTATAAATTATTTTAAATAATAAAAAATTAAAAAAGTGAAAGTGTGTGGAAGTCGTGCACCCTACAATTTTAATTATTTTATATTTTTATTAACTTAAATACTTTATAATGAAAAAAATTATTATTAGTTAATTACAATTCATAAAAAAGTATAATATAATATCAAAAATTGAAAAAAATAAATTACAATGAAATATAACTTTTTTGAATTTTTAATTACATAATTACAATAATTATAGGTATAAATTATTTAACTAAAATTATTTTATAAGAAATTTAATTTAATAACAAAAATAATTAAAAACATGAAATTTATTTATTTAATAATATTAAAAAATATTAATTATTAACTAGTAATAATTTTAATTATTTTAAATACATTTAAAAACATTATTTACAAGTTATAAATGATTTTAATTAATAAAAAAATAAAAAAATATAAAAGTAAAACTGTGTAGGGTAGAGGACTTCAATAGGGGAAGTCATCAACTCCCTACAATTTCGATATTTTTATTATTTTTTAATGAAAAAAGATGTGATAATCGATTATAAGGCTGGATAATCGATTACCATGTCCTAAATCGTTTTTGGGGTGCACGACTTCACCTCTGACCATTGTGTCAGGGTGAAGTCGTGCAAGGGGGCACAAGTTCTTCATTTGAAGTCGTTTGGGCCCCCCCACGACTTGCCTAAATTCGAAATTGCAAATTTTTTTTACCTAGATCCTTAATTTTTTGTTTAAATTTGCCTATAAATGTACAAAAATCGAGAAACTGCAACGACTAAATATCAGTCAAAATTGGAATCGCTTTTGCAGTTTTTACTTAAACACGTATTTCTTTCTCTTTTATTTTCTTCCTTCTATTCATTGTGATGCAATGCAACACAAGTTGAGATTCACCTGCATGGGAATCACCACTGTGAGATTTGCCTTTGGAGGATTTGTCGCGTATGCCTCCTAATCTCGCTCTCCCTCTAGACTCGCATTGGACTCTTGTCGTGTTGTGTGGTATATGTTGGCTTGGTTGGTCTCTCTCTGATCTAGCTCTCCCTTTCGACTAGCGCGGTGTCTTCTTCTTGGGCTCTCACAAAATTCGAATGTTTTTTAACTCGCGTGTTTGTTTTTACTAAACAAAAAATAAGACTCTCTTGTTGGTGTATAGATCTCGTTCTTGCAATTTTTTACTATCCAAGAAAATTTGGTAGAGAAATTACAAAAATAGACAAATTTAAAAAATATTACGATAATAGGTAGGTCCTACATCTTTCATATGATTTTAAATAGAGAAATTGTGTGCCCACACAACTTTTATTTTTGTATGTATTTGAAAGTGATTACCTCCTCTATGATTCAAATATAATATTGAAATCGTTGAAAGATATAACGACCTTCAATCTCTATAAAAAAAAGTTTTGGGATAAGAAGACTTCCAATTTCGAAAATGCAATTGATAATATATTATAATATACTTGTAATTGATTACCGACAACCCAACTTTTTTAAAAAAAAATTGAATTTGTATCGTGACACTTCACATTAACATAACCCAACAACTTAATCAAGGTCTGATATAGCTCGACCAAGATTTTATACAGCATGACCAATATCTAAAGCAGACTAGACGACACCTCGTTTTAGCAATTTTTAGCCTACGATTGATCGACCTAGGTTTGATACAGCTCGACTAAGGTCTAATATAGTTTGATCAAAATATGATACAACTCGGTCAAGATCTGAAATGGCTTGAATAGTAGTCTGACCAAGGTCTAATACATCTCGATCAAGATTTGAAACCACTCAAACAACAACCTGTTTCAACCCTTTTCAGTCCAGTAGCCCAACATTAGCCTGTTTTCATGTAAAAAATTTATAATGTCAGTCTGTTTTCATGTGTATTAGACTTTCGATGATTGAATAAAAAAATGGGTCGTGTTAATATGAAGTGTCGTGGCGTATGTTCAATTTTTTTTAATGAAATCTGATTGTCTGAGATGCCCTGACTGACTTGCTTCTAAAATTAGAAGTTGTACCCAAATGACTTTCTATTGAGATTAAAAGTCTTTAGGCTTCCAATGAATTCAATGTGATGTAATCGATTACATATTTATTTTCATTATAATAAATTACATTACAAAAATAACTTATTTGTTGACTATGAGGAGTTAACAGAGGTATAAAACTAAATTAGAGGGATATCTTGATAATTTCTTACCAGTCCTAGGGATTAATGATAAACATCAAGAAAATAATAAATTGCACGAATAAGCACTTGCAAAAATAAGCTTGTATGGTTATATTATAATTGAGCCTTTTACTATGCTAATGGACTCAATTCTAAGAGTTTGTTTAATGTTACCTATTAATATAAAAATATAAAATAATTTAAATTACATTCTGATCGTCTCTATTTTTAATAATTCAAATCCTTAAAAAAAAGTAAAAATAAAAAATATTTTCAAATAAATAAGAAAATTATGAAGATTTTGTTTAATTATTATAGAGATATTAAGATATTGAAAATACCTTTATCTTAATAATATGTTATTTACACCACTTTCTTTCAAGTTGTTAACTGAAGATCAACCATTCTCAACTTTTTTACAATATCCTACAACATATTTTGAAGAAGTCTTTATTGAAGAAGTCTTTATTGAAGAAGTCTTTATTGAAGAAGTCTTTATTGAAGAAGTCTGTAACCAATTATTTGTGATAAATTATTTATTAATTTTAGTATGTTTAATTCTATCATGTTAGACTGAATTATGGAGATGTTCATGACTAGATCTTTATCAAAAGTTCTTCACACACTCTTTAATCAAGGAGTTGCAATTCAACTTGTACTCTCTATCTATTTTTTGCTTCTCTAGATGACTAGACTTTCTCCAAGAAATATACAGTAACTAGATGTAGATT